ATATACATTGATGTAATAAAAATCATTAGCAATTTATTACAATATATTTAATGTGTTAAATTTAATTTTAGATTCTTCATTCCACTAGAATAATTTTATCTTGTGCACCAACAAATTTCTAGCAAACTTTATTCTTAAATAAAGATAATGTGAAAGCATTTTGGGCAATTTCATAAAGTTTTAGCATTTTATTCATAATATAAAAGGTAAATATGTAAACATTTGTGCTCACTGGTTAAATTTATATTTTGAACAATCCAATGCAAGTTTTTAAACAAATTTAACACTCTATAAACCAACAGTTAGATAAATTGTTGCAATAAATATGAATATACTTTAATTATAGATTACACTAAAATTATCCTTAGATAAATTTCATCATGTTCTAGAATTTATTGCAAATTGTTTAAACTTTACACTTTAATATAAAAGATTTAGCAAAAACTCTACAAATAATTTTAGAAAATTAATTAGAATACTATAGGCACCTCATTTTGTTATAAAAATGCTAAATAATTAAACTTAAGTTAATTACAAAATTTTGTAGTAACTTGATGAATATATAATTTATACAAGTACTTTTTATCTATTTTGAAATTATTTTATAATTTTAGCAATAAAATTTATTAATATTTTATTATATATTAATGTCTCTATGTGTATCTGATTTATTTTTAGATTCACATAATAAATGATCTAATAGAGATTATGACATAAATTTCCAGAAAATTTGTTGTAATTTATATTTAATTGAAGATAAAGGCAAAATCTCTACAAATTATTATAAAAGTATATTATGAGAGTTTCAATATTATTTTGGCAATATAAATTGCAAGTAAGTATATCAACATTTTTGTTAAAATAAATGTATAGACAACAAATTTACAACTTTTTTAACATTTTGAGACCATTCCAAAAATTAAAAGTTTGTATACAAGTATATTAACAAAAATAATTTTAAATTGATACTTTTATTACTAAATATTTGTACATGTTTTAAAAATTATAACTGTTATAAATATTAGTATACTAATATTTATACCAGTTATAATTTATATATATTAAGTGGTAAATCTCAAGAAAATCATATGGAGACATTTATATTATTAATACTTGAACAAATTTATATTTTTCATATAAGCATTTAATTATAATGATAAAGCAAACGAAATTATTAATAATTGTGCAATAATTGTTAAAATATATTGTATCTAAGTTATTTTTATATTGATTTTTTAACAGAGAACTTCAAGTACAAAAATTTGCAGCAAATTTCTTAAATTCATAAATTTATATTTGAATTCAAATATAATAAGATAAATTTATTTCAATATCTATAAATTATCATCAGTATTTTGTATACAATTTAATTGCAATTTGTATATATTGATATAATATATATAGAGATCAAATGCAAAATATTATCATCACATATGGATATTATTTAATTTTTTGGTTTTGCTAAAAATATATCAAATTTCTTATTACAAATTTTAATTTTAACTCTTTATCTAAATTCTATTTATATTATTATTATTTTGTATCATTTTACTGTTTTTTTTTTAAATTCATTGCATATTTTTAGAACTCTTTTTTTAATTTTTTATTTTATACCATAAGAATGTTTCTAATATTTTTTATTTGTTTTTAGATTCATTAAATTAATCATTTGTCTGATGGAACTTATTATTGTAATAAACAACATCTTTATATATAATAATAATTTACTGCAAAGTTAAAGGAAATAGAAAACCAAATGATACAAATTTACCAGGATTTTATAAATATAGAAAAATGTTTAAATTGAATTCAGGAGAAAATAAATAAATATATATATATATATATATATATATATATATATATATATTAGGGTGGTCCTTAAAATGGTCATTTTCGAATTTCCTTGCTCCCAGGGGCTCAAATGGTTCCAAATAGATAAAAAACAATTCTCTGAAAGTTTTAGCTCTTAATATTAACGTTTAGATAGAGCGCAATTCAATCAAACTTAGTATGGCAAGAACATGGAAAAATTTTCAAAAATTTTAAAAATGTTTTTTAAATGTAATTTAGCGAACAAATGAATGAATAAAACTCATTCATTTGTCGCTAAGTTATACCTAAAACATTTTTTTTAAATTTTCAAAAATTGTTTCATGCTCTTTCCATACAAACTTTGATTGAATTGCGCATCGTCTAAAAGTTAATATTAAGAGCTAAAACTTTCAGAGATTTTTTTCGTCTAATTTCTTTTTTATTAAAATCATTTTTTTAAATACATTTAAATATACATCTGTTTAATTTTTTTCTAATATATGATTAATTTCATTTTATATTTGCAAGTATTTATGCAAGTATTATATGTAATTAATATCTACATATATCAACATTAAATGAAAATGTTACAGGAATTACGAGAAATATTAGACACAATATTCGAAAGTTAAAATTCATCTATATATGCATTTGTTAACTAATAAGATGTTTATATGACATTCTATAAAGCCTGAAATATATGGATTTAACTCTGCTGATATTTTACGGTATTTTACGGCATAAGAATATTTTTTATGACTACTCGTAATTTATTTTCAGGATAAATATGCAGAATTTACAACAAAATGGTGTTCAATATATATTTTATAGTAAAATACTTCATGTATTAGATTTATATGGTTCATCATCTTTTTTTTTTTTTAATTGTTATTTGCGGATTAAGCTTTCTGTCGCCCTCTGCCTTATGTGACCAGGCGCCCTTTTTAATAGAGAGACTTAGATGTAATTTCTAATATTGCCAATTGCAAAAGAATTGAAAATGAAATTTTTTACATATATTCACGTTTCAGAAACTTCTAAACATTTTGAAATACCTTAAAATAAATTCATGTGTGTGTTTTTATATATTTTTTTTAAATTACTTAGATAGAATTTCTAACATTGTGTAAGGAAAATTATAGTAATTGCAAAAGAATCGAAAATGAATTTTTTTGCATATATTCACGTTTTAAAAACTTCTGAACATTTTGGAATACTTTAAAATAAATTCATGTATGTGTATGTATTTATGTTCGATTCCCAATGATAAGACGTTGTGATTAGTTTTAGGCAAAGGCATGTCCAGCCTTTAAAACAAGTGCAAAAATTGCTATTCAGTTTTTGAAATAATTGCAGAGACCGATTTCCGAATAATTCAAAAAACATTTTACTTGTATGAGATGATGAGGAATGATGAATTAACTTTAGTTAATTTAGAAATGCAGGTCCAGCAATTCGCGGAGATCTAGAAAAAAAAAACTTAACTAGTGTATGCATGGGGTAAAGTGCTTCAAGCCAAGTAACTTTCCAAAAGAGAACCAAATGAAATGAGTAACTTTCAACCTTGTGCAAAAATTTTGAGCTTAACTGGTGGTCAAATAGACTAATATGATGACTTGATGATGAACATTGTATTTAATGTTCGAATGCTTTTTTTCAGAGGCGAAATTCGTGCAGCTATTATGATTATTATAAAATTACTATCCGTTTAATACTAATTATGAATAAGCTTCACAAGAGCCTGAAATAATATCTCTTATTGATTACGGCTTGCTTATGAATGAATGAATAAATAAATAAATAAATAAACCAAATTTGCGTGAGTACGTGTGAGCCGAAAAACAGTTCGAAATATATTATTCCCAACCAATATCTTTCATTCTTTCTCATTAGTTTCTGGTAAAGACCGGCCGGACCGTTTCTAAATTTCTTTTTTAAATAAAATTTGCTAAGGAGAGGCCGCGATTAGATTTGCGATGACCATCGGCCAAGACGATTCTTTAAAATTTGTATTATGATTGTCTCCGCATTTTAGGCAAGCAAATGGTCTATTGCAGTATTTTTTGGTGTGATTAAAGAGTTGACAGCGAGAGCATTGTATAATGTTGTTGGACTTTCTCGGTGGTTCGACGCGTATTATGCAGTTGAATAATTTATAAATGTTATAAATGTTTTTGTTATTTCTATTTGGTTCCAGATCAACAAAAAACATATTAAGAGGTTCTTTTGTTATTCTATGTCTAATATTTAGGATATTACGTACGACATGACCCTGTTTTAATAGTTCTAATTTAATTGCATCTGTGCTTGTTGAAAAGTGTACATTTCTAAGAACAACCCTATAAGCCTTCTCTTCTTTCAATTGATATGTATGATATACGGCATTAGTTTCTTTTAGATGTCTGGATAAAGTTCGAAAATGGTCGACAGAATTACATAGAATTTTAAATGTATTGTTAGCTAAACTTCTCAGGAAATATTGATCGTGCGGAATTATTTCATTTAATTGATTAGACATAACATTAATATCGTCAACTCCGTAAATAAATATTGGAGGGGGCTTACTGACTGGAGCCGGTTTAACTGAGATGTCATCATTAGCTGTTTCTATTGTTGAAAGGGCCGAAAATCTGTTTTGAATTTTGACATCTATTCCTAATGGTTCAAATGAAGTTTTTCTTTTTTTGAAATTCACTACTTGCCATGAATTAGGAGGTTTCTTGACATCAGAATGTGGTTGAGTGAGGCTTGTAGATGCACTATTACTAGATGATATTACTTCCTGTCTTGAGTCAGAAACTGATGAAGTTGAACGCAGCGAGACCTTTTCCGATGTAAACATATTGGTCCGACCTTCTTCGCGAGGTATCTTGCTGTATTTGCTGGATCCAATAACGGTCTTTCGTAGTTTTGGGATTTCTGATGGTTTACTGTCCGATTCCATATTCGCTTCTATATCTTGATTGAAATGTAAGACATTTTTTTGATTCCACAAACGCACATTAGAGTCTCGATTATGTATGGTTTTTTGTAAGCAATTATTTAATTATCTGTACACTTTTGTAAGCTTTTCATGCAATATTAATAAACCGTAAAATTCAATCTGACATGCACTTGTTTTTTTTTCATTACACCAACAATGTAAAATAATACATCAAAGTAATATGACAATATAATCTGTTACTTACATCCAACAATTCCTGTCTAACCCACTCTCTGTAATCATTATTTCCAAAACATTTCTTCGAGTACAACCCACATAGATATTCAGCAATTCCTTTATTGAGCCAGGTGTCAGACCAGCTCTGCATAGTAATGAAGCAGCCAAAGAATTGTTCAGCTATTGCTTGAGACATTGCTTTCCTGGTTATATAAGTTTGATCAATTATAGCTATGGAATGAAGCAAATGAGTACTCAGAATGCTCATGGTAGTGTAGGCAGCTACATCTTGAACAGTCTAAAAAGAATAAAAGGGGATTTATTTTACAATCTATGAATTAAATTAAATTCTAAAGAAACTTTATTCACCTCATCAACAAAAACTTGCTTATAACAAGGATATGGATATCTTGTAGCTAAAGTTTCCTCATAAAACTCAAAAGCTTCATGCATATATCGAACAGAGTTCTTCAATAATGGCATTAGTTGTGGTAGACAAAAGTGGGTCACTTCGTGCATATGGGGGTCCACATAAGTTTCAAAAGGTCTAGTATGAAAAAAAAAAGCACAAAGTTATTGATAAATAATACAATATTGATATATCTAGTCCATACCCAACAGCTAAAGCAATATTAGGAGCACAAGCAGGAGTATTTAAAACATAATGGTAAGTCTTCCTCCTCATATCAGGCGTCATAGTAATTTCTACAAGATCACCACAAGAGACAGCTGTCATTGCTGCGTCAACAGTAAACTCAAGACTCCAAGTACAAGGCTCTGCATAAGAATACACGCAAGGAAACCAGAGTCTTGATGAGTTTTCATGTGCATAGGTGTACATATGAGCTGCCCTCCAAAAAAAACAATCATAAAAATACTGCCAGTTATATTGTGATTTTCTTTCACAAACCTCTTCCATGGTGCCTTCAGTTTCAGGCACAACAAAATGCAAGCCACCTTGAGGTTGCTCTAAAGAAAATTCTATTCCAACTCTTAAACCTCTACCTTCACCAATGAGATGGCTTGCTTCATGGGACACATTGATAAATAATTCTCCTGCATTACAATCAGGATCTATATTTTGAGCAGCCGCTAAGTGACACTTGGAAAATACCTCCAAAGACCTCCTGGTAATAGAAAGGATATTTATCAACAATCCTACTAGTAGAAATTGATAATTATGGGTAAAAACATAGAACAACTTACGTCTTTGAATCATTTTTGCAGATATCCAAAAAGGGATCAAAATATTGAAAAGTAGCCTCACAATCGCCTAATGTGACTCTATAAATTCTACATTGCTTAGCATTTAGTTTAATGCTTCTCAAATTGTCTTTCAAAGGTACTATTGTCAATTCCACGAAGCCCTATTATAAAAATGAGTACACAAATTTTTGTAGTTTGATAAAATAAAGTGAAAATTATTTGTATTTAATATTTACAATTATGCTCTTCCTCTCGAAGCTAATACCAGTCAAACTTAATATTTGATGAGCTGTAAAATAAATATTTTTAATGAATTTATATATCTAAACACCTGCAAATGAAAACTTGATAGACTACTTATAATTTAAACGGTCTGGAATTATCCACTGAACGTTCATTCTTCATTTTTGACTAAATTAAAACTTAAATATACAAATTTAATATTAAAAAATAAATTTATTAAACATTATTATTGCAAAGTTTGCTTCTAGGTTACAAACGTCTTGTTGAATGTTGATATCAAAAGCCTTCCAGTGATGCCAATTCTGTCATGTCATGAGTTCGTTCCATCCGAGCCAATCTGACAGTCCGGAACTGTCCGCGCATGCGCAGAACACTTTTTTCTGTTCCATCCAAAATTTCGGATTCCAAACTGTTTCGGATTGTCAGTAATGCGTTCCATCAAGCAGTCCGATGAGTTTGAAACTATCATCCTAGACAATGTACCCGGCACAAACAGAAACTCCGTAATTTAATACGATTAAAATATAATGTTATTTAATCTCAAATAGAACAATAAAAATTTAATGAATTTACAGGAGTGCAAATATTGTAGAATATTATTTTAAAGCGACATAACGATATATAACTAGGAAATATTAAAAAGCAAATTAATTGATATAATTAAGTTATATTTTATTTGAATGTGTTTTATATATATATATATATATATATATATATATTAAACTTATATTTATGTATGAAAATAATAATTATTATTATATATAATAATAATTATTATTATTATTAGAATATGATCTGTAAAATGTTACAAGTTAATGCTGAAAATTATTCAAATTAAAGAAAATAGTTGTTGGAATTTAATGCAATAAAAAACGGTAAAAGGGAAAATTATGTGAAAGTGGAAATGATTAATCTTTAGGTAAAGAAAAACATTTTTTTGTACAAAACGAGTTTTTTATTATTTAAGGTGGTATTTCTCATTATTATAGTGTACAAGATAGTTGATGAAAACGTTCATAAATTTATTTTTATTCTATATATTTTTAATATAGATTTAGTTGACTATAAAAATGGAGAGAGGTATTTATAAATTAAATTAAAAATTATAAACATTTTTAATATCTAAGTTTGAATAAATTTGCTATTATTTTGAAGAATTGGAAGAATTTTTGATAATGCCAGATGTACAGGTACGTGATCCGCAGGATACGGTCTGGACCATAGAACGGACCAAATCCTTGATAAATTATTATAAATTATACGTACCTCAATTGCTTTCGCTGAATGTACGAAACAAGAAAGAGATGTGGAAGAAAATCAGCGAAAATATTAATGAGGAATTTGGCACAAGCTTTAAAGAAAATAACGTGGAAAATAGATGGAGGGTTCTACTAAGAAGTTATAAATTAGTCATTGATAGAAATGAATCCGGTAATAAGCATGTTTGGCAGTGAACATCTTAGTGTTTTTTCCACATATTAATAATTATTTTAACAGATCCACGGCGGTCAACCTTTGAATATTTAGAAGATTTCAATGAAATTTTCAATAGGGCGCAAAGCACAAACCCTATCTGCCTATTGAATTCAGAAAATGAAAATAACGTTTCGGATGTGATGCTACAAACTGGGCCTTCACGATCTGCTATTGCAACAGCAGCAGATGATGACTCGTCAGAATCAGATTTTGATATTGAGCCATCAACTGTTGCTAGAGCAAGGCGGATCAGAAGAAGAAGGACTACGTTACAAGAAATCAGAGACGATAAAAGAAAATTTTATAGAGAAATATTAGAGATAGAAAGAGAGAAATTAGCAATTTTAAGAAATAAATATGGAGATGTATAAATTAATTATTTTTATATTAATTATTACACCATGATATGATTTTTTGAATATATTATTAATTATTAAGTACAAATTATTTCATTATATAACACATTAAACTAGTGAAATACCAGATGTCTAATATGAAAGAACATTTTGAATATTTTTAAAATGTTATTTTCAATTTCTTCTGTATTCATTACGACTATTTATGAAATGATGAATCCTCTTGATATTTTATAATTATTTATAGTAAAGCAGCTGCTATCTGATCGCGAAGCAATCGGGCATTTATTTCTTCGGCATTAACTTCATCTTCAACCGAAGACTCAATGTTCAAGCGAGAAAGATTTTGGCTTCTCTGCAAACATTCAAAACTTTCTTTTATGCTCCAATTGTGTAAAACACAGCATGCTCTTATAAAATGGCAAATAAAATGTATGTTTTTTATTTTTAAATGATAGAGTTGCCTAAAATTTTGTTTTAATAACCCAAATGTATGTTCAATAGTACTTCGAGCACTGTTAAGTTTTTTATTAAAATTTTTCTGGGTTTGCGTTAGAGAATTAATATTTCGAAATGGTGTCATTAAATTTGTTTTCAGCGGGTAGGCTGCGTCTCCTAATAAAAAATATCGACCACATTTTCGATTTAAATTTAAACCCAAATTCGATCTTCTGAATACTCTGGCATCATGTACTGAACCAGGACATCCAATAAAAACATCAATAATTTTGTTCTGATCATCACAAACAGCTTGCATCTGAAAAAAATAAATTAGAACATGTTTCGAAATTTTAGTATATAAACAAAGTTACCGCACATTTATGGAACAGTATCCTTTTCGGTTTAAAAAAGATCTTGAATCCTTTGCAGGTGTGTTTATTCGTATGTGGCACCCATCGATTACTCCAATTACATTAGGAAATCCTTTTTGTAAAAATCCTTCAGCAATCAATAACTTTTCTTCATGATTTGGCCACTTTATAAATTCAGAACTGATACAACTTAGAAAAGAAGTAACTCTTCGAATTATTCTATGCAAAGAACTTAAAGTGATATCAAAACGATCACTGACATCCCTGTAGCTGGCACTTTCATGTCCCGCAAACCACAAAAAAATCTGCACCTAAAATTTTATTTAATTATAATTTTTTTTAGAACAACCACAAATTTATGCCGCACCTGATGTAAAGCACTTATTTTTCCATATATTCTATATGTATTTAAATTGTAGATTGCACTTGCTTTATATCGGTCAGATATTTGTTTACAAACATTTCTGCTAACTCTAAAGTGTTCCATAAACTGTGCCTCGTCATACAATGGAACCACTTTGTCTGCCAAAATAAGATTATTGTCTATAGCCACATTGAACAAATTATTGAGTAATCACTTAACATATTTATGATAGTGATTGATTTATTAATAGTTAAAAATAATATTACAAAATAATATTATAAAATAAAAATAATATTATAAAATAAAAATAATATTACAATAATATATTATTGTAATATTATTTTTATTTTATAATATTATTTTGTAATATTATAATTAATTTTGTAATGTTATAATAAATATAATAAAATATTTTAGTAACAGATTGCATTTTACTTACCAAGATAACCCTTATTTCTTTCAACATCCACAAACTTTAATAAATCTAAATCATCGTCGTCCTCGTACTTTTTAAAATCGTAAAAAAATTCATCATCACTCATTTTAAATAAAAATTGCACTATACTAACTAAATTAAAAAACTGAAAACTGTTCTAAAGTTCTGAATTCGACTAAACACTATTTTAATATTATAAAAAAACTTATAATATTTTAATATTATAAAAACTTTTTAAAAACTTATTCCTTATCTGTGATCAAACATCGAACGATGAACGGCCGTAAATAACCCGCAAACGAATTCCGATTTGTACCGAAAACCACCGAATACAATCGAGTGAACTCCGAGTTCGAACGCGTTGGATGTATTCAAACCAAACCATTGCCAACTGCCATGAAAAATCAGAAAGAGTTTGATCTAGTTTGAAACAGTTTCGGACTGTCAGATTTGCTCGGATGGAACGAACCCCATAACAATGAAAATCGTAATGTATACATGCTGCCAACACAAGAACAATATAACGAAAATTTGTAAATGAGGCAAATTTAAAATTAACAATCACAGTAAGAGACATTAAATAACATATTATTGCTAATAAAATCGATATATAATTTAACTAAAACTACTAGATGTAAGTAGCATTTTGCCTTGAGGCAAGTTGCATGAACTGATATCACTAAAAAATCTGCAATTAAATTAATTATAATGCACAACCAAGTGCTTGTATGTCCTAAAAGCTTATGATCAATATATAAATGTGTACATCAATTTAAACAATACTAGAATAATCACAATAATTAGAGCAGGTTTACAGAAATAACCGTTTATAAATATTTCACTGGCTTTCACATGAGCACCCAAGTGTCTCTTCTCATATAGGTACTTTATATTTTTGAGCTTTATGGTTATTTAAAGTTTTTGATGCATGAAGAGATTTGCTACATGTTTCACATTGATAAGGAAATTCTCTAGAATTGATAAACTTGTGTGCATTTAAAGCATCAGATTGTGCTAATGATTTATTGCATATTCCACATTTCTGAAGAAAATTTCCAGAATGATTAGTCATATGTTTTTTTAAACCAAGGGCGAGCAACCTTTTTAACCCGCGGGCCAATTTGGTTTTAAAATTTTATGGCGGGCCGCACGTAATTTATATATATATATACTAGCTGACCCGGCAAACGTTTAGCCACAGGAAATATTTTAGAAAATCATTAGTATTAGAAATGACTAACAAATTTTGAATGTATAAATATGTGATATATAAATAAAAGGGACAGCTAACACAAATTACATTGATAATTTACCCGCTACAACGCTAAAATACTACAATACATAATTAGGTTATGCTATGCATAGCAAAACGAGTAAAATTTCAATAACTCTGAAAAAAAATCAGTTTTCTCTCAAAAACAGTTTTATCTTCAGATTATAATGTTAAATTTCTAATTTTTTTTGCTAGAATTGCTCTTTCTGCAAAACATTCAAAAACTATGTACTTCTAATGCACATCGGAAAATATACGTACGGTAGGATAAGCCTGCAAATCAGTTGGTTTTATCGGAGGTAACCATTTCGTTGCCAATATCTAAGAATTGTTTTTAAAATTTTGCAGCGAATAGAACGGATAAATTCAACCTTTTTTATTAACTCAGAAAATTCTTGATCAAATTTTTATTAAAAACGTTCACAAAAAAGGCGATATTAGTTAATTGATTGATTAACGAGCTAAATAAAAAATGATTGAACTACTAAAATGAATATTATAAAATAAAGAAAATTTGGAGTTGTATGTAGTTTTCCATTCCGCATTAATAAAATTAAAATAAAGAACAAAATTTAAAAAAAGTGTTACGTTCTTACAACCCATGATAAAAATAAATTGCTTTTTCTTTTAAAATAAAATTGAAGCTTTTTCATAAACTCAAAAGTCTGAACTAAAATTAAGTCAAAAGATTTGTTGACTGAGCGCGGAAATAATGTAATTGCAGCAAAATTAAAAATTGCCACAAGAATCACATCTAAAAACTGGCATTTTTTAGCATTTTTTCTGAATGAATGAATTATTATCCAGCGACTTTTCTTTTGTGGATCTGTGTAATTGTTTGCACACATACGTACTTTCAAAAATATAATTTGATTTGGATTTTTTTTCAAAAGCGAAAATTTCTTAGGGCTGACATGAGATTTATAAAAAATTGCGATGTTTACTGAAAAAATACATTTTCTAAATCTGTACTAATTTGCATGGTAAATGGCGAAGAAAACATATACATGAGAACAGCTGTTTTGTTAGCTTTGAATATTTGGAATTACAATTAAAATTTGTTCACATTTTCGTTTCCTGAAAATGAAATGTAAAACACAAGATACTGCAAAAGATATTAGTCTTTATTACCTAAATGACGAAATTACTACAATTGTTTTTTCATATCCAAAAATAATGATTTAAATCTCGCGACAAGTTCTCAATTTTTCTTGCAATATTGTTAACTAATGCTTAAATTAATATTTATTTTATTAGGAAATGCTATTTTAACAGTTTTTACCAGTATTTGACTGATATCAAAATTAGCCTTTACAGCTGTATTTGATAAAATATCTAGAAAAATAATCTGTAGTTGAAAAATGCTTGGCGGGCCGCAGAAAAACCTCCGGCGGGCCGCATGCGGCCCGCGGGCCGCGGGTTGCTCATCCTTGTTTTAAACTATATACGGAACAAAATAGTTGTTACATATTCCACAGTTATAAGGAAGATCTTCAGAATGAATAAGCATGTGTTTCTCTAATCGAATCAATCGTGTGAATGTTTTATCACATATTTTGCAGATATGTTGCTGTTTTCCAATATGAGTGAACATATGTCGTTTCAAACCTTTTGGTGAGCGAAAGTTTCTGTTACATATATTGCATTTGCAAGCAAGTTCTCCAGAATGAATTGGCTGTTCTCTGTTATGAGCAATATGTTGTATGAGTGTACATATGTCGTTTCAAACCTTTTGATGAATGGAAGTCTCTGTTGCATATTTGCACTTCAAAAGAAGTTCTCCGGCATGAATTGGCAGTTCTCTGTTATGAGCAATAATATGTCGATCTAAATGGTGTCTTAAGCAAATGCATTATCACATATTGTGCATACGAAAGGGTTTATAGGAGCCTGCATTAATTCCTGTTTGATTTCTTCCTCTACAGTTATTTTAGAATTCATAAATCTTTCCAGACATGTTTCTCCATTCTCTGAACAAGATTCAGACTTAATATCCTCTTCATTTTGAGGATCTTCTGCTGAATATTCTAGTGGTTCAATTTTAATCGAGGTAGTTTTTTCTTCTGACATTATTAGATATATTAGATACCTGATTATAACAGAGAAAACAGTTGTGTACTAATTAATCATGTATTTTAATCAATGATATTAAATTTAACTAATTTAAGGTGATACTTGCAGCATAAGGTTAGGAATTTTTCCCGTCGTAACATTTTAGAAAGAAATGTTTTGATAATCATCTTCAATCTTATCATCTCAACAGGAATATTTTTATAAATACTTTTATTTTTATAAATTACTCCATTTATGTATAATGTCTATTTTAATGTAATGTAAATAATAGAAAGTTATTTTGTACGTCAAAAAAATCGTCAATGTTGGCCACATTGCCGCCATGTTAGATTGTTCACACGCAAAGAATCCTCAAACTGTGATGGCCAAATTGGTATCTTTAAACAAACTTATACCTGCAATTATTTAAATTATTAAATATTGTGTACGTCTCAAGAACGCCTAATACTTTATTCCAACCTTAGTGAATTTCTAAAAATCATAGAACTTCTTGTCCTTTTCAGGAACGCCCTTTTTGTAAGACTTTTGTCTTGTTCTAGTTTGCTCGTCAGTACAGTCCTTTTCTTTTTTATGTTGTTATAATTGTTATCGATTGTATTAATATTCTATATTTATACATATGAAATAACATATAAAACGTTTATAACAATAAAACTAATGGAATACACGTGTAATGGAATAATGCATTAGGTTTGGGCAACATGGCAAGCGAATTTAAATTAATTGTTCAACACAACTGATATATGTTCATCGAAAAAAATTCGATATATTATTATTATTTTATGACTATTGTATTGATTGTACTTCAAAG